GTCCTCTGCTCTGCTGACCTCCCATCCTTCTGCTCCCTGACATTTTTTTTACTGCACCCCCACATTGGACACGCTAGATCCAGTGCCTAATTAGTTATACGTTATAATAGGAAGTTATTGGTTTAGGTCCCAACTCCTCTTGGATGTCTTTTTTTGGATACTGAGGTTGTCATAGACAACAGAGAGACACAATATCATTGAAAAAAGGAAAGGTAGTTTCAGGTTATAAACATCCCCCTCCCCCAATCCCCCCCACCCTTATTTGTTAGAGCAGTATAGTTAATCTCTTGTGGTGTTTTGTATATCTCACGTATCTCCTACGTCATCTCCAGGATTGCCGGGCCTCGTATTATTTCTCCATTGGCTGTATCGGGTGTCGGTGGCAAAACCAAATGGGATGTCCTGGATGGGGTTGTACGCCGGTTATTTAAGGTATAATATCACAGTGGCTAAATGGTTAGCACTTCTGCCTGGCAGTACTGCCAGGCAGAATCCCAACCATGACACCACCTGCCTGGAGTTTGCATGTTCTCCCTGTGCCTGTGTGGGTTTCCTCCCACACTCCAAAGACATGCTGGTAGGTTAATTGGCTCCTGGTCCTAGTATGTGTATGTGTGAATGTGAGTTAGGGACCTTAGATTGTACACTCCTCGGGGGGGGGGACTGATGTGAATGTACAATATATATGTAAAGCGCGGAGTAAATTGATGGCGCTATATAAGTAACCAAAATAAAAAAAAAAAATAAAATGTTTCCTAGTTACACAATCTGTATAAGGGAACTTTGCCTAAAGTGTCTGGTTGGAAAATCCAGCTGACAGAGCGTCTACCTCGACTGTCCAGGGTTCTCCTAGAGGGGACAGGAAAAATGGAACAAGGTGCAGTGTCTGGCCCAGAGTCCGCAGTACCAATGGATCGAGCCAGCACAGCACTGCTTGTGTGTAGTAATCCATTTGGATCCATAAACTTTCTGGTCTTATTGTGGCATTTGGCAGCGGGCATTTAGAAAGACATCCTGAATGCCTCATATTAAAGTGTATTGAACATTTTTGGTGCTGTAGAGAAGGATTAGAACCTCTGTCAGTTTTTTATCATACATCAGAAAAGCTGGATCTCCTATTGTTACTTTGCCTAAAGTGTCTGGTTGGAAAATCCAGCTGACAGGGTGTCTACCTCGACTGTCCGGGGTTCTCCTGGAGGGGACAGGTAACATGGAACAAGGTGCAGCTGCTGGCCCAGAGTACGCAGTACCAATGGATGGAGCCAGCACAGCACTGCTTGTGTGTAGTAATCCATTTGGATCCATAAACTTTCTTATTGTGGTGGCAGGGGCAAAGAAAGAACATCCTGCAAATGCCTCTTTAAACGTGTATTTAACTTTGTTTACACGCGTGAGAAGGATTAAACTCTGTCAGTTTTTTATCATACATCAGAAAAGCATGCTACCTCTCTATTGAACTTTGCCTAAAGTGTTCTGGTTGGAAAATCCAGCTGTGACAGGGTGTCTACCTCGACTGTCCGGGGTTCTCCTGGAGGGGACAGGTAACGAACAAGGTAAAGCTGCTGGCCCAGAGTACGCAGTATCAATGGATGGAGCCAGCACAAGCCACTGCTTGTTGTTAATCCATTTGGATCCATAAACTTTCTGGTCTTAAAACGGCAAACGCTTGTAAACGCGGTTAACTGCGTTTACACGCGTTTTAAACTCCGGTAAAAAATCTACTCCTGAACGCAATTTTGGTGCGTTCAAAGAAAACGACTGTAAACTCAACTGCCTGTAAATGACGATGTGTACACGGACACATAGGAGAACATTAGGGAGAGTTCAGGGGATGCTGAATAAAAAAAAGCTCAACAGCTCCAGCTGCAGTGTACATGAGCCCTTAGAGGGGATTGTCCCTGTGGAGAAATTTTTCCTACTTCCTATCTCTAGGGCAGGAAGTAAGTGGAACGACGTACAGAGAACAAAATATAATGTGGGGGTCATGAACGTTCCCAACCAATCAAAAAAAAAGAAGGATTTATCTTTGGATGATGCACTTTGATGCCTCTATAGACAGGCCTGACTTGTGATGTTTCTTGCAGGAGTACATTGTACACGTGGATCCAATCACGCAGCTGGGACTCAATTCTGAGAGTGTAACCGGTTTACAGCATCGGAGAGATCAAAAGGACCAACACTGTGGGACTCCGGAACTTCTTCCCTGCGGGTATCTGGTGGGTGAAAATGACACCATCGCCCTCACATTGAAAGGTAAGCCATATGTTCGATCGATTGCTAATTCCTCCCATTCATTCATTCATTCCTTGTGATCGGTCAAACAGGTTGGGAGAGATGAGGAGATGCAAATGCCCAAAGTGTGTTATCCTCTAAACCTCCTGTTACCCAACCGGTTGCCCCAGGTCCACCTTCAGCCCTTTAGTCCCCTCAGTCCCCGGTAGCCTGTATTGGGAATAAGAGCATCGATCTGTAATGTGGTAAGAGCGATCATTTCTGCTGGCGTCGCGTAATATGCCCCAAGACTCTTGTAGTGTGTCTACAGTAGTCAGGGCCGTGGGTAAGAGGGTACCACCATCCCTCCTGTATGGGGCCCAGGCCATCAGGGGGCCCAGGCAACTGGGTAAATCAGATATGGGCAGAGAGGGTGAACGGCATGGTGGGGGGAGGATTACTGGAACCGATCCCCTGCATAACTCTCTGCAGCAGCTGAAAGCTGGCTTCTTCTCTCCCTCCTGCCAGATTTCAGCTGCTGCAGAGAGTTATGCAGGGGATCGGTTTCCAGTAATTGCCTCCCCACCATACCCATCAACCTCCCTGTGCACCATACATTCCCCCCTGTGTGTCCCCACCCCCACAGTGCTGCCAGCTTCTCTCCTCTTCTCTCCACCAGCAAGCACACAATAGGATCCTTCGGGATGGGTCCAGTAAATATGTCACATTTACCAGCCCCTTCCTTTCCTGAATGAACGCAATGAGTGATCAGTACCAATGGCTCACTGTGTTCATTCATAACTGAAGCATAGTAAAGTGAATTTTTTTTTTTTTGGGGGGGGGGGGGTGGGCCCTGTCAGATTGGCTTTATGGGGCCCTGTGGTTTCTAAATATGTCACATTTACCAGCCACTTCCTTTCCTGAATGAACACAATGAGTGATCAGTACCAATGACCCACTGTGTTCATTCATAACTGAAGCATAGTAAACAGGGTTTTTTTTTTTGGGGGGGGGGGCTGTCAGATTGGCTTTATAGGGCCCCGTGGTTTCTAAATATGTCACATTTATCAGCCCCTTCCCTTCCTATGTGAACACAATGAGTGATTGGTACCAATGACTCACTGTGTTCATTCATAACTGAAGCATAGTAAACTGAGGGGTTTTTTTTGGGGGGGTGGGCCCTGTCAGATTAGCTTTATGGGGCCCTGTGGTTTCTAAATATGTCACATTTACCAGCCCCTTCCCTTCCCTAAGTGAACACAATGAGTGATTGGTACCATTGATTCACTGTGTTCATTCATAACTGAAGCATAGTAAACTGAGGTTTTTTTTTTTTTTGGGGGGGAGCTGTCAGGGCGCCTGTATGGGGCCCCGTGCTTTCTAACAGCAGCCCTGCCAGTAGCGATGTCCTTGATGTTCGAGTCAAATGTAAGTTCGGCTCGGACATCAGTCATTTGTGTGTTCGGCGAACACACAAACGGTAAGGGCATTCGGCTGGCTTTTTTGCCCCACAATGCAGTGTGCTCTGATAGTGTATTGTGATTGGCTAAAGCAAACCCTGCCCAATTGTTTACATCTGACTCGTAAATGTCAGATAGCGGTGGGTGCTTAGCGGGTGCAGACGGGTCAGTGTCGTCGTTTTTTTTTTTCATTTCGGCAAGTCATCGTGACAATGATGGACACCATAGATTACGATGGAACCATTTTTTTGTTTTTTTTTTCTTTTTTTAAATAACGGGCTTGTCAAAAACTGTTATATTTTTATTCACATTTTACACTTTTTTTTGGTGAATGAGTAGGGGTACGCATGTTCATTCACAGGGGGGGGGGGGGGAACCTTGTTAAAGGGAGCTTCCAGATTCCGATAAGATACCCCCTCGTAGACCCCCACAGCCCAGGGGACTCCAAGCTTCCCCCCCCCCATTATTTGGGGGTGGGGTTCCCCTAAAGGGCCTGGTATGGCTGTTAGGGGGAACCCCACACACTTTTTTCCCTCCATGTTTGAGAGGTGGGGTTCCCCTTAAAAGCCATACCAGGCCTGGAACCCCATGCACTTTAAAAAAAAGAAAACAAAAATTACTGTGGGGACCCTTTAGGTCTGGTATGGATTGGGAGGGCTCTATACATTGTACGGATGTGTAACTTTACAGGTAGTTCAAGGGGACCCCCCAGGCATGATATTTTTTTACTTTAAGCAATAAAAACTGACTGCCTCTTTAAAAACGGTACTTTTTGAAAAAAAATTTCACTGATTCCTGTCCCTCAGGGCAGTACCCGAGTCCCCATACCCCTTTTATGGCCAATAACTTGCATATACTGTAAGCCTTCAAAATGGGCTTCTCATATCTTGGGGGGGCCTCCAGCGGGAAGGTTACACAAACAGGATTTCCAGTTCTCACAAATGGCCACCACAAAGCCAAATAATGGTGTCACACCTCTAGAGACAAGAAATTAGGGGATTTGACACCCTGTGACACCCCCCTCCCGGTTACTATTTTATGGGAGGAGCTACAGATGTTGTCTAAGATGTCTTCCAAAGACACCAAACTGTCCAAAAAAAAGTTGCTCAACACAAACAATACAATACTCGGCTACTAGAGGGTAATGCTGTGCTCTGTTCTGTTTTAGGTCTCGCTGAGAACAGTTTGGACACTCTGGTGTTTGAAACGCTGATTCCTCGCCCGATATTACAGCGATACGTCTCCCTGCTAACGGAACATCGGAGGATTATCCTGTCCGGTCCTAGCGGGACGGGCAAAACTTACCTAGCTAACCGGCTGTCTGAGCACATGGTGCTGCGCGAGGGACGAGAACTAAGTGATGGCGTCATCGCTACTTTTAATGTGGACCATAAGTCCAGCAAGGTAAGGATTCCTCACTGTCCTTCCCGTCCTATAGGAAGCCGCAAACCTACAAGGGTGCAGACTTTTCAAGCATGACAGAGGGATGTGGTGTCGTTACTCCTGGCAACCAATCAGAAATGACTTTTCACTGTTGTTGTGGACTGTGCAGGTGCGGACTGACAACTCAAGGGGCCCCCGGGCAACAGGGGATCATGGGGCCCCTGTGTCATTGTTCACACTGGGAGCCTGGGAGGGGCCCAGGGAAGGGGCCTTCCTACAGGCAGGTGTTGGAAGAAGGGACCTCCACGGAGCCACCGTCTACTGAGAGGAGCAGCCTGAGCAGCAGGGAAGGAGCTAGTCCAGCAGAAGGCCTGAAGGCACTCACCAAGCCAGGGGCGGACTGACAACTCATGGGGCACCCGGGCAATAGGAAATCATGGGACCCCTGTGTTCTTACCCACACTCAAATCAAACACCCAAAAACTCATATGAAAGGTGCCAGGAGCATCTCATGGGGCCCCCTACTGACCCCCAGGCAGTGCCCGAATGGTCAGTCCACCCCTGGGCCTGTGTGCACATAGGGCTGTAGGTTAATTTTTCAGTAACATATAAATTCGGTGTCTGGCTTAGGTGGCCCATACTGAAAAGTGTCCCTAACACTAGTTAACCCTCAACAGCCTTCTTCAGCCATTTGCTGTATACATGCACAGTAGTGCTCTTTAACCACTTGCCCTCCAGAGGATTTACCCCCCCCCCCCCCCCCCCCCTTCCTGACCAGGCCATTTTTTGCAGTACATCGCTGAGTTACGCTGGTAACTAATGGTTGCAGGTTGGGATTAGGCGGAAGCGTAGTCGAGGAACAAGTCAAAGGTTGGTAACTAGTGGTTGTAGGTTGGGATCAAGTAGAAGTGTAGTCGAGGAACAAGCCAAAGGTCAGTAACAAGTGGTTGCAGGTTGGGATCAAGCAGAATCGTAGTCCAGGAACAAGTCAAAGGTTGGTAACTAGTGGTTGCAGGTTGGGATTAGGTGGAAGCGTAGTCAAGGAACAAGTCAAAGGTCAGTAACAAGTGGTTGCAGGTTGGGATCAAGCAGAATCGTAGTCCAGGAACAAGTCAAAGGTTGGTAACTAGTGGTTGCAGGTTGGGATTAGGTGGAAGCGTAGTCAAGGAACAAGTCAAAGGTTGGTAACTAGTGGTTGCAGGTTGGGATCAAGCAGAAGTGTAGTCGAGGAACAAGTCAAAGGTCGGTAGCAAGTGGCTGCAAATTGAGATCAAGCAGAATCGTAGTCAAGGAACATGTCAACGGTAACTAGTGGTAGCAAAGATACGGATGGCAGCAGAAGTGACAAGAGTGAGATATTGGCTGTGGAGAGCACAATAACCTGGCAAACAGGAAATGCAAAGGCATGGCTGAAATAGAAAGTTCATGGGAGGAGCAAAGGGTTCAAGGGAAACCAGGTTCAAGGCAAGATTGTTCAAGGAATTATCCAGGGAGCTGTCCAGCATCCCAGGTGGCTCAACAAGAAGAGAGACCACCAGACACAGCAGAGGTCGCATGTTCAGACCCGGGTCCTGACAACAGTCAGCATCCCCACATCAGCCTGTGGGGTGGCTATGGAGTAGCTCTATCGGACCAGAAAGGCAATGCAGTTACCTAGCCACACCCAAGAACAGGGGCAGTGATCATGGGACCTGCTGAAACCGTAGGAAAGGAAATTTTAAAACACAAAGCAGTAGCATACTAGGTAAGTGCTGATGTCAGCAGCTGAAAAAGCTAAGCACATTTTCGGGTATATGGACTTCAGACTCTCCCCACTTTATAAGCACATCATTCAATCTGCTCTGTTATATAACCCTGATATATCTAATACCTCACCATGTTCCCATTACATAGAAGTGATCTCTGTGAGCTTCCAGCAACGTTTTCCTGTTTTGTTGTGCAGGAACTGCGTCAGTATCTCTCCAATCTGGCCGACCAGTGTAACAGCAAGAACAATTCGGTGGACATGCCTCTGGTCATCATCCTGGACAACCTGCACCACGTCAGCTCCCTGGGGGATATCTTCAATGGCCTTCTGAACTGCAAATACCACAAGTGGTAATTATGTTCAGCATTCTTCGATTTATAACTTTTTTTTTTTTTTTTTGTAATGGTTGAACTGGATGGACTTTTGTCTTTTTTCAGCCAGACTAACTATGTAACTATATTCTCCCTACAGCCCATACATCATCGGCACCATGAACCAGGCAACTTCCTCCACGCCCAACCTGCAACTCCACCACAACTTCAGGTATGTCTGACAAGTCCAGAGCCGTCACAGCGGTATGGATCAGCAAATTACTCCTTTACTTATGATATGCTGGGAGATACAGACAGTGAACGTCATCGCGTTTCAGACAATACAGGACTGTAATTGCTGAAAGGTGTAGACACATTACATTATCTTGAAAGTCTTAATACATCTTCCCCCTCCGAGATGAGCGCAGTGGGGAGCATCTGGCTGCTTCTCCATTCCCAATTAGTTATTGATTCTCCTTACATAGACCAGCCCCCGAGGAGTCTCCTTTTTTGCACACTCTGTGGTACCTAAGCAAACTCATCTCTGCATAGATCCACCAATACCCTCACTGTCAGTTTGGGAGAGACAGACCATTATTCTCACACTTGTTAGGATTTCAAGGATTATCCCCCCCCATGCTACTGTCAGGGATCGCGATCGCGGCTCCTCTCCCAGCGCATGCGCACCGGCGGCAGATCACGCCGGGACACCGGCACTAGGTCCCGGCGAGCCGCGGCTGACAGGACGCCGCGCATGCGCAGTAGAAGCCGCGGGCGCGTCTCGGGCGTCCAATGACAGCCGGGGGCGCGTCCTGGCCGGCCAATGACAGTGCAGGGTGCACTATTTAAAGATGCCCTGCACTGTCACAGATTGCCGCAAGGTCTATCTGTGATCCTGAGTTCCTGTACCTGTTTTGTGACCCTGATTGACCCTGACTACGCTGCCTTCTCCTGTGATTTGACCCGGATTGCCCTGACCACGCTGCCTTCTCCTGTGCCTGACCCGGATTATCCTGACTATTCTGCCTTCTCCTATCCTGACCCCCAGTTTGTCTGACCATTCTGCGGACTGACTTACCCTGCTGACCCTGCGTGTGACCTGACTACTCTTCGCGTTCCGATTCGGTACCCCGCTTACCCCACGGGACCACGGCTCGTGACCATCCTGCTAGGTCCCGCCGTCCTCTTCACATCTGGCTCCCCCGGTACCTGCATACATCCCCGGAGGCTCCCTCTGCCACTGGTGGGCCTGCTCGGAGGTCGTGACCTGGCCCTGGTCTGTTACAAGTCCATCCCCACCATCAGGGGCCCTGGTGAAAGCACAGACCAGGCTTAGACTCCACGCTCTGGGTAGGTCTGTCCAGTGGGCAGCCGGAGGCACCACCTGGCGGATCCTAACAGCTACATTTGTAGAGTTTGGTCATCTTCATGATCAATCTCATCTGACTTTGTTTTTACTCGTTACCTAAATAGGTGGGTGCTCTGCGCCAACCACACGGAGCCAGTAAAGGGTTTCCTGGGGCGCTACCTCCGCCGGAAGCTGATTGAAACAGAAATGACCAACCGAGTACGAAACGTGGAGCTGGTGAAGATCATTGATTGGATCCCCAAGGTGTGGCAGCATCTCAACCGCTTCCTGGAGGCTCACAGCTCCTCAGATGTCACCATCGGTCAGTGTTGAATGGAAAAGCCATAGATTGCCGCTGTGGGGGTGGTATTTGGAATGTGTCGTTTGCAATTGACTATGAAGCCTCTGTATGTTCTGCCAGTCTGAGGTTTGGTGCATGCTGGGCAGTACCGGGACAGGTTTGTCCAGCAGCCAGGGTAGGGATCCAGAACTGCGACCTCTTCCCCTGCTGCTAATACTTGACGCAGAATGGGTGTACCAACCGACCAACCGACTCCCAATTCTCTGCTCTCTTCTTGGCATGGAGTGTGCGCTGCACTTGCCTAGCCAATCACATGCTTTCTAGCAGCCAGAAAGTAGTTTCGCATTCACGGTGCATTATTTGTGCTAGATGTAGGCAGATGGGGTGGAGGGCGGACATGATGGAGCACAGTGTGACAGCAGCTGCTGTCAGAGCAGACATGAAGCCTTGAACAGCTGGTTGACATCCACTGATCCGGAGCGTGGGGTGAAGGAGCGCCCCACCCCAGGCAGCCTTCCCTCCTGCCCACCCCTTGTCCCAGCACTGATGCTTGGTCTTGTTACGCAAATATAACTGGAAACTAGGATTGTTTTACCGTTTTTACGTGTACTGCACATCGGGGGCGGACTGACATCTCATGGGGCCCTCGTCCAATAGGGGATCTTGGGGCCCCTGTGTCCTTGGCCAAACTCAAAAAAGCCTATGAAAAAGGTACCAGGGGCATCTCATGGGGCCCCCTACTGACCCCGGGCCCTCGGGCAGTGGCCGAGTTTCCAAATGGTCAGTCCGCCCCTGCTGCACATGTGTGCGGCTCCGGCTCCCGCACTGATGCCAGCAGTACTATGTGTAGTACGGCACTCATGGCTGTACTACACATGTGCGAGTTTTGCCTTTCCCTGTGTTCATTCCTAGCTGCATTTGTGAATGAATGGGAAGCCGCTTAGCACAGAGAACCTCCCATTCATTCACTGTCCAGTGCAGCTGAGGCTGCAGAGAAGGGGACTGGCTGGGGAGTCTCTGTCCTCAGTTCCTTTCTGTCTCAAAAAGTGTGACATCAGAGGTCTGCTTAGACCCCGAATATTTCACCACAGCCCCCTCAACAGGCCTGTTAAAAAAAAAAAAAAAAAAAGTAAAACTTTTTTTTTAAATAATTAAAAAAAAATTGTAAAAAATAAAAAAAACAAAAAACTACTGACATTGTTTACTATCCAACTGACACCAGTCTCTGCCCCCCTGACA